CGACACGTTCGAGCTGCTCCACTTCGACGTGTGCGGCCCCATGGAAGAAGAGTCACTGGGTGGCAGCAAGTATCTGCTGCTGATCGTGGACGAAGCCAGCGGATGCATGAAGGGGTTCTGCCTGCGTGCCAAGTCGGAGAGCGAGGACTGCATCAAGATGTACGTCACGAAGGTGCAGACGCAGTTCGGCAAGAAGGTCAAGTTTGTGCGGCACGACGGAGCCCGTGAGTTCGCGACCAACTCGCTCAAGGCCTTCTACGAAGTCGAAGGCATCGAGCAGCAAACCACGGTTCCGTACGCGCACCAGGCCAACGGCACGGCAGAACGCGCCATCCGGACCATCGTCACGATTGGCCGCAGCATGCTGCATCATGCCAAGCTGGACAAGAGCTTCTGGGCTGAGGCGGCCATGACAGCCATCTACGTGAAGAATCGTCTGCCATCACCCAAGATCGAACACAAGACTCCGTTCGAGATCGTTTACAAGTCCAAGCCGAGTGTGAAGCACATGCGTGTGTTCGGATGCCAGACGTACATCCTGACGCCGAAGGAAAGACGGCGCAAGTGGGACCCCAAGGCTCGCGCCGGGCTGTTCCTCGGCTACGAAGAAGTGTCCAAGGCGTATCGAGTTTATGACATCGAGGCGGGGCAGGTGGTTATCAGTCGCGATGTCAACTTCGATGAGTCGACCTTTGGACTTTCGACGCATACTTCGGATGAAGACGTCGATGATGCTGTGCTGGACTTGGACGCGCTGGACCTGGACGACAACGATGGACCGCGCCAAACGAGCTTCAAGCAGGCGGGGAAGCGCAAGTACCGACCGAGTGGCGACGACAACACAATCCAGAAGATCGCGCCCCGTTCGCCACCGAGCTGGCTTAGAAGAAGCAAGTGCGCCGGACGTATCCTCCTCGCGCCGAGCCGACCCCGACGAAGAAGAAAAGTCTGGGGACCAAGATGAAGACGACGACTCGACGCCTCCAGTGTTTTGGCGTGCCAGTGCCAACGCTGTGGAAGCAGCAGCCGATCTATCGGAGCCGACGACGTTCCAAGAGGCTGTGAACGGTCCTGATCAAGTGCACTGGCGCAAAGCGATCCGCGCGGAGCTCAAGTCGATGCGACTGCGTGGTGTGTTTCGAGCTGCCAAGTTGCCTAACGGACAACGCGCCATCGATACCAAGTGGGTGTTCAAGATCAAGCGCAAAGCGGACGGCTCGATCGAGAAGTACAAGGCGCGCCTCGTGGCCAAGGGCTTCAAGCAGAAGTACGGCATTGACTACACCGAGACGTTCTCGCCCGTGGTCAAGTATGTGACGCTGCGCATGGTGATCGCGATTGCTAAGTATTTTGGCTGGCCCCTCGACCAACTCGACGTGGTGACAGCATTCCTGTACGGGATAATGAAGGAGGTGGTCTTCTGCGTGGTTCCGGAAGGCGTCGAACTGGATGGTGACTTCGACTGCCTGGAACTGGTGAAGGCCATCTACGGTCTCAAGCAAGCTTCGCGAGTGTGGAACGAGACCTTCGACGAGTTCGTGTGCTCCATCGGCTTCCAAGTGTCGGCCTTCGATCCGTGCCTCTACATCAAGGTAGTGGACGGTCACTGCGTGCTTGTACTGGTGTACGTGGATGACGTACTGACTACCGGGAGTTCGCCCGAGCTGATCGCACGCACGAAGACCGACCTGAAGACGCGCTTCGAGATGACCGACAGCGGCAAGTGCGCGTTTGTTCTTGGGATCGAGTTGGTGGAAGGCCCGAACGGCAGCGTGACCATGTGTCAGCGGCGATACGTGGACGACATCCTGAAGCACTTCGCCATGGACGAGTGCAAGGCCGTGGTGAGTCCGGTGGACATGAGCACTCGACTGGTTCCAAGCGACGCGGCGACCAAGGTGAACGCTCCGTTTCGCGAAGCTGTTGGTGCTCTGATGCACCTGATGACCGCCACGCGCCCAGACATCGCGTACGCCGTTGGCTATGTATCGCGCTTCATGGAGAACCCCCAAGAGGAACACTGGGTTGCGGTCAAGCGTATCTTTCGCTACCTGCAAGGCACCAAGACGCATGGGATCTGCTTCAAGCCGGGCGACAAGATCGACTTTCGTGGCTACTCGGACGCGGACTGGGCCGGCGACCTCGCCGACCGCAAGTCCACTTCAGGCTACACGTTCATGCTCATGAGTGCGCCTGTGAGCTGGGGAAGCAAGAAGCAATGAAGCGGAGTACATCGCGCTCAGTCTGGCTATCCAAGAAGGCAAGTGGATTCATCGCCTGCTATGCGAGATTCTGGCGGCCGCTAATGAGACTGGACCCGAACTCATGATCCGCGAAGACAACCAGTCGTGCATCAAGATGACGAAGAACCCAGTGAACCACGGTCGCGCCAAGCACATCGACATCAAGTACCACCACATCCGCGATGAAGTCAAGCGCGGCGAAGTCAAGCTCCAGTACTGCAAAACTTCTGTGATGCTAGCGGACATCATGACGAAGGCGCTTGCGGGACCACGCCACACGGATCTGACGGTGGCTCTCGGCATTCGTGGGACTTCGCATTGAGGGGGCGTATTGAGGGTTGCTGGTCTTGGGTACTGTGTACCAGTTGTACCCATTAACCGGTTAACCCGAACCGGTCCAATCCGAACCCACGTTGATTATGGTGATTACGGTAAGTTGTTTACGCCACCGATGATTATACGAGTAGGATGATTGGATGAACACCGGTGAGTGATGGTTGATTAGATGCACTAGGTGATAGGACGCAGGGTCGCGTGTCTATAACAGTAGGGTGTAAGCTCCAACAATTCAATCACTTTCGAATCTTCATTCTACCCCTCAAGTGCCTTCGCTCCGGTCCCGCCGTCTGCGACGTCTCTCCCTCCGCTTCGTCCGAGCTTCGTGTCCAAGATCCATACCTTCCATCATCCTTGCGTCCTTATATCGCTCCTCCAGCCCAGGGGCGGACCTACATACAAATTAGGGGGGGGGCGGTGCCCCCCCCCAGATTTTGGAAGACAACACACTTACCCCCGTATTTCTGAGCTGTCGGATCGACATACTCCCCTATTTTTGAGCCGCATATAGACTTACCCCCTGTTTTTGGCCCGGCCCCCCTCAGATTTTTATTCTGGGTCCGCCCCTGCCTCCAGGTGATTGTGAACGCTTATATCCTTTTCAGTTTCTCTAAGTAGTGCTTTACGCTTTGCTTCGCGCTCACTTCACGATTGGAATGATGCGTGCATGTTGCTCTCTATAATATTGACATGACATTTGCCTGAACATAACTTAATTTAATTGAGCTCTTTTGCGCCGGGTGATTTTCTTGATTTACGATTCTTATTATGATCAATTTCATCGATCATTACCCTACCTTCCATTTCAGATGGCTTAGCATCGATAGCTGAGTGATACGTATTATTGTAGTTATTGTGAGAACCGGCTTAAACGCCCATCTTTAGCAACCCTTTATTAGATTTCAACCACTAAATAAACCAGACTACAAATCAGGGCTGAAATCGATCGTGATCTAGATGCATCGCTTGGCTGCGCGATCGCCTCGTAAAAGGTGGGCATTCTGCTCGAAGCGTGGGTATATCGACCTGGCTTCCATAAAACGATCGCTTAATCTGTACATCCACTGACATATGCATCGCAGAACGCGATCGATTTATTGTGAAAGCCGATTAGAATGTCTTATCGCATTGTTAATCCGTCGATTTAGTGGCTTAATAAGACCGACGACCCCCGATTTGATAAATCCGACCTCCTAATTAGACTGGGATACCTCGATTTATACTCAAGATTATAATCTAGGACGACTTGCAGAGTCAGAGCATAGGAGTCGGATTTACATTTGCTATTATAATCGGCCGATTAAGCCAGAGCCCGCTGATTTGCTTGCTATTCAGACGGAATGTCCGATGTGCGACCGGCATTCGCTCTGTGGAGTAGCGGCCTCACAGAAATCGCGGAGTTCGTCCTCGCACAAACCCGACGCGTCCAATCTGCGGTCGCGACGGGCAATTTCCCGAATCTTGAGTAGCGTATCTTCGAATATAGAGCCCAAGTCTTCGCAAGCTTCAGAGTTGGGGGGTTGAGTGGACGCTTGTTCCTTGTCTTAGGGCGTCGGTTGTTCCTTGGGCGTGCGGACTTATCGGGCCGGCGTTTCCTGGGGCTTGTTGCGTGGCGTTATCGGGCCGACGCGGGGTCTTGTGCACAGCGGTTATCAGGCCGTGCGGTCCTTCGTCTAGGCTGCGCGTTATCGAGCGCCTCCTAACCGGTATACGTTTTACGTGCCTTCGTTTCCAACACGGGGTTTGAGGGGGTGAGTGCCCGAGCCAACGAGCGACGGGGGGCCGCGTGTTCCTTGCGGCTCTGCTTGCCGACGCTTGGTGGTTTTCAAGAACCTGGCGATCTTCCGGAGGGGAGAGATCTGAGTGGTTCAGAGAAATTTCGGGACTGAATCCTTACCCTATCCTATGCCCTCACTACTGGCTATTCCCCACTACTGCTCGCTAAGCCTATCGCTCCGTGCCTATCCTTACTTCTGTCGTGCTTGCACTACCGTCCTTCAACCTGATTTACGTAGCATAATCAAGACTTGGGCTTGACGGGGTTTCTCGACGGGATTTCCTCGACGGGGTTTAGGGTCGGCGGGGTTCGCATAGCCGGGCGTGCGAACCGGCTCGTCGAATCAGTCAGGATCCGCCTGATTCCGCAGCTGGTCTACGTGTCACACGGTCCATCACCCCGTCAACCTCCCTGGCGATCTCGACGCGTCGTATTCCGTCCGCCTCGTCGGCTGCCATCACTCTCGGTCACTCGTTCCCTGGCGCGCGACATCTCGTGGGGCGCTATTCCACATCCGTCCCGCTACCACGCTCGCGCACTCCCCAAGTGGGTGTGCCGTCGCAGAACTCGCTCCGCGTCTGTCGCGCCCCGTCCTACTGAAGCTTCTCCAGTCGCCGTGTATCGCCGTCGTTCCTTCCAAGTCCATGGTTCGCCGCGACGACGTACGCGCTGCCGACATAGAGGTGGTCGACGACGAGCTCGATACCGAAGACCTCGAGGCAGCCGGCTGCGTCGTCTGCGCGAGTGGAGCGCACCGTCCTCATCCTCCCGCGCGTCTTCCCGTCACGCTTCCAGCACCTGGCACGCCAGTTCCTTCGGTGGCGGCTCTCGTAGCCGACGCGCGCGCCCTCGCCCAGGAGAATCGAACGCTTCGGGCTCAGTATGAGCTTGTGTCAGTGAACAATGCCGGCTTGGCCGCCCACGCCTCCGTGCTACACGATCGGAACCTCGCTCTCCTTCGCCATGCCCGCGAAGGCTATCGGGCGGGTATGGTGATGCTCGAGCAGGCGCGCTTGTCCTGCGAGCGCACTGAGCGGGCCAACTCCGAGCTCGAAGACCGCGTGCTTGGCCTCCGTGACATGGCGGGCCGTACGGCTGCCGCCGAGACACAACTCCGGGTGTTCAAAGCCTCGTCGGAAGAGGAGTATCACAACTTGCAGAACCAACTCGCCGCCTCGCAAGCGCAGGTAGCTGACATGTCTGCACGGCTCGCCGCGGTCCCCGCGGTGGCGGCCCCTGCCTCGACGTCTACGGTCTCTATGGCGCGGCTGTTCACCGCGCTCGGTGAGCGAGACGACGCGCGTGCTGAGCGCGACGACCTGCGCACTCGGCTGGCCGCTGCGGAAGCTGCCCTCGTCTCCGTCTCGACGCGGCCATGGCGGGGCGAGGTCGAGCTCGCCAGTCCGCCGTCCGTCGAGAGCGGCAGCGTGACGTCACCCTCGCCGAGCGTGACCAAGCGCGTCGGGACTTCGCGGCGCTCGAGCAGGAGCGCGACGCAGTCATCGTGGAGCGCGATCAGGCTCGATAGGTGTCCCTCGCTCTGGAGCAAACTCGTGGCGCTGCAACCCGTGAGCGCGACCAGGCACGTCAAGCTCAGGCGAGAGCTGAACAGCAGCACGATGCTCTGGTCGAGGATCTCCGCGTCACTCGCAACTCACTTGCTCAGAGACGGGCTGAAACCGAGTCTACCCAGCGGATGAACGACCCGTTGCAAGCCGACGTCCGGCGTGTGAATGCGTTGCTGGTTGCCCACGCCGAGGAGCTCCAGCGCGAGACGGCTCGCATACGCGAATTGGAGACGACAGCCGCGACTGCCTCGACGGCACGCGTGGTCGCAGAAGCGAAGACAGCCCGGGCCCAGGCTAATGAGCTGCAAGCTGTCTCGCGATCCGGGCAGTATCGCACCGGCTGGTTAGCCATGCGGCGTCGGTTGCTGCAGCAGAGCGATGCGACCGGCGCACACATCCGCCGTCTGAGCGTCCGCGTCGCCGACCTGGCTGACGAACGCGATCTAGCGGTCCGGGAGCGGGACGAGCGTGCGATGGCCTGGAGACGCATGCTCCGAGACGCGCGTCGGAGCCGAGAGTTTGCACAGCGCGTGCGCGACGACCTGGCCGGCAAACTGGCCAGCTCCGTTTCATCGGTAGGCGGTACCATCGACACCGCCGGCCTGATCCACCGCCTCGAGGCTACCTACGCAGCGGAAGTGAACGCTGGCGTCCCCCTTCCTCCCGCCGATCCCGCCGGGGCCCCCAGCTGTTGTCGCCGGGCCGTCCGCGTTAGCCCCCGACTCTGGCACCGTGCCTTCGTCAAGTGATTCGACTCAGCAGCCGTCGTCCTCTGTCGGTACTCCGGCTCCTCTTCAGGTTCCGGTGTCTTCCTCAGCTCCATCATTATCGGGCACACGTCGGCCTCGACCCAGTGGAGCCAGGCCTTCGGGCTCTCGGCACCCTTCTTCGAGCTGCGCAGGGCTCCCGGCGACCTCCACGTCGAGTTCTTCGCCACGGCGTCGGAGCCAGCGGGCTTCTACAAGGGCTGACACAGCAGCCTCGAACAGTGCGGCCGCACAAGTTTCCCCTGTCACGTCGCTGTCGGCTGCGGCTGCGGCGCGTGCTCGTGCAGACGCGTCTCTCTTCGGTTCAGAGTCCTCGGAGAGTGACGCCGGGGCGCACTCTCCTCAGCCAAAACGCCGTCGTTTGCGAAGCCCTTCTTCCCGCTCGCGTTCTTCGCCGCGTTCACGTTCTCGATCGACTTCGCGTCCGCGCTCCCGTCCGGCTTCGGCGTCGCGTTCGGTGTCGCCTTCCCGCTCGGCTTCGCGTTCATCGTCGAGTTCCTCGTCGCGCTCGTCGAATCGCTCCGTCGGCTCGGCGCGTTCCGCGGGGTCGGCTGCTTCCACTCATTCGACCCGCTCGCGTCGGTCAGCGTCGCCTTCGCGGTCGGCACGTTCTCCCACGCGAGGTCCTCCCACGCGAGGTCGACGATCGTCTCAGCCTAGTTCGGCGACTCACTCCGGCGGGCCTGATGACTCCGACGGCGGCGACTCGTCCTCGTCGTCTTCTGCCCGCTCTTCGTCTTCCAGTTCCGTGTCCAGTGGCTCGGAGGGAGCCGCACCTGTGGTGCCGTTCTTCGTTCCAGTAATCCCCCCGGCTGGCACGCCTTCGGGTTGGACACAGCGTCGCTATTTTCCATGGCCCAAGTCCGTACGTCGTCTTCGGCTCCACACCATCACGGCTCACGAATTGCGAGCGCGCTTCTTGCCACCGCGGGGTTGGATCTGCCCCCGCGCGCCTGTTCCTGAACCGGCGAACTCGAACCGGGCCTTGGTGACACGTGCCAACGTCGACGCGTTGTACGCCACGCGGCCCTGGCGCTACTTGGCTCAGGAAGTGGGGTCGGTGCTGTTCGCGTCGGGCGATGCCGCGTTCCAGCCGTTCATGCGTCGACTTCGGCACCACGTCGAGGGCTGGGCACAGGCGTACTGGGAGTCTACTCATGAGCTCCATGTGTCTGGCGCTGCGTGGCGGTCGTGGCGTTCATCTCGGAACTCCCGACGGTCGCACGCAGGCGACCACCTGAACAGTCTCCTCCAGCTGGTGGTCGACTTGTTTCGCCGTGGGCTCGCCGACATGGACTTGCTTCTGGACCCCGCGGTTCTTCACTTTCCACCGGCGCACTCACGAATCGGACGGTGGTTTCCGGGACTCCAGCACACGACGCTGCAGGAAGCGCTCGACGACGTTGACGCCCAGGAGCCTTGGCGTCGCTTCTACCGAACGCCGCTCACCGTCGCGCAGATGGATGCCAACGTGCGTTGTCGCGTGACGCGTGCCCACCACGCTTACCTCGTGCCTCGCCTTGCAGGCAAGTTCATCCAGCAGGTTTGAGCGTAGTCCGTTACGTTAGTGTAGCTCGTAGCCGCAACTTCAATGCATCCCTTTGACACCTTCCCTCTTTTCTTTCCCTTTTTCACATCTTTCTATGAGACGGCCCTCCGCCGTCCTATCTTCAGCAACAGGCTGGTCCTCCTCACTTCCCTCATCCAATCCCTCGCTCCGGCCATTCCCAGAGTCGAGGCTTCCCACCAGTCCTCCCGTCGGCAGCCCCCCTGCCGACTTAGTCGCACCCGTGGGCGACCACCCACCAGGCTCCACCGCCTCCGCGTTCTCATGCGACTGCATCGCCTCGAACCGGTTGCGTCCCGTGCGCTGGCGCAGGAAGTCGTACAGCAACCCGCCGCAATTCAGATCGAGCTCGTCGACCCATGTCGTGTCCGGGTAGCCCTTCCATTTGACTTCGAACTCGCGTCGCGTGCGCCCATACCGGGTAGCCCGCCCCTCGCGCACGTTCACGATCTTCTCGACCTCGAAGACGTCATCCTCCAGCTCGGGCGTGGCTTCTCAGCTTTCTTCCGGCAAGGGCTCCTCGTCGAAGTCGAAGCGCTCTTCGGCCGGCACCGTCAGCTGCGTCGTGGGTCGCGACGGGAATTCCCGGACAGGCTTCAGCTTGGAGATGTGGACGACTGGGTACAGCTGGTAGGGCGTACCCGCCGTCTCGAGGCGCACTGCGAACGCGCTGACCAGCTCGGCGACGCGGAAGGGTCCGTGCCACATGTGCGCAAGCTTGCGCGCATACCCCGGCTTCACCCGATCCAGGTACAGCCAAACTTGCGAGCCCGTCGCGATCTCATGTTGCGTCGCGTTTTCAGTTTGTCGACGCGCTCTCTCTTCGACGGTCTCTCGGACTAACTCCAACGTTTGTGCCCTCGCCACCTTGTAGTGTCGCTGAATACGAAGCCTCCACCGCCTCGCTTCGGCGTCCCGGGTCGACGTGTTCCCGACGGCCAGCGTTGCTTCCAGCGTTGCTTCCAGCGTCGACCGAGGATCCCAGCCGTGCACTAAGAAGAACGGGATTTCGTTCCTTGTCGGTCGTGCGACGTGTTTAGCGCGAAGGTAAGACGCTCGGCGTATTCGTCCCAGTCGCGTTGGTCGACATCCGCAATGTACATCTTGATCGCTCTTGTAACCGTCTGCACCATGCGTTCTGCAGCACCGTTGGCTTGGGGACGGTAAGCGAGCGTCGCTCGCTGTCTCTGACCCATGAGTTTGCTGAACGCCTTGAAGAAGTCGGACATGAAGCCCGGCTCGCGGTCGTGGCGGATAGCCTCGCTCGCGCCGAAGCGCCTGAACACCGCTTCCTCGTACGCCTCGGCCACCGTCTGCCGGTTCGTGACGCGTTCGCTTTGACCACGACGAACCCCGTGAAGAGGTCGACCCAGACTAACAGCTCTGTGTTGCCTTTGTAGGATGCCGGCAACGACGGAATATGGTCCATGGCGATGACCTGGAACGGGTACGTCGCGACTATGTTGCCCGGCGACTCGCCCTGGATGGTCGGCCGACCCTTCCCCGTGTCGCAGTCGGTGCATTCGCCGACGTAGCGCTGGACGCTTCTGAAGATCCCTGGCCAATGGAAGTGGTGCCTCACGCGCTGGTACGTGCGGCCAATACCCTGGTGTCCGCCTTCCAGGCTCGCGTGATAGTGGTGGAGTATATCCTCCCTAAGATCTCCGGGATCACCAGCTTCATCATCACATCGCGATCCTCGGCGGAATCATCGTTTCTCGGCTAGTAGTAGAGCAGCCCGCCTTCGCCCTCTTCGTACTGAGGTGCAAGCTTTTGGCAATTCTTCACCTCGCGCCGAGATAGGTCACCGACGTCGCCGCGGAGATACTTCTTGAGGTTGACGATCCAGACCTCTTCGTCCTGGGCGACGCGGATGCGGTCCAGGCGCAGTCGTTGCACCACCAGCTCCTCCAGGACTTCTGGAGGTCGGCCCCTACGTGTTGTCGTGCGTGCGGCAGCCGAGCGCGTCGTCACAGCGAGGACTTGTGCTGTCCCGCGTCCCGCGTCCATGGCCTTCCCGGCGGGGTCATCCGCGTCGAGATTATCCGCGTCGAGACTGGCTGAAGCCGCCCTCTCGGGACTCGATGCCCGTGGTCGGATGACTTCTTCCAAGCGATTCAGCGTCTTCTGATCTTGAATCTCTTCGGGGCTGTGCGTGTTGCGGCCTCCTTGACGCTGCAGAGCTTGTCCAGCCAGCATGTCGGGACTCGCGTTCCAGTCTCGTCGTTCGTGGAAGAGTTCGTGGCGCGGCCATGCCTGGAGTGCGTTTCGCGTCTTTTGTCGCAGCAGCTTCAGCGCTGGGGACTTGCAGTCCATCTCGTCCCGCATCTGCCTGATGACAAGGTTGGAGTTTCCGCATACGACGAGTCGGGTGACGTCGTCAAGCTCCTCTAGAAGAGAACATCCGAGCAGCAGCCCGCGGTATTCCGCCTCGTTGGCCGTGAGGTCCGTCGCATATCCCGACGTGGCGCGCACGATCTCCCAGTTCGGCAGCTGCCAAATGACGGCACTGTATGCTCCGCCTTCTCGCTTCGCCTTGGCCGATCCGTCAAAGCTCAAGACGTGCAAGACCTCGTCGCGCGCCACGTCGGGGACTGGAATGACTACAATCCTGGACGCCCGTCTCCGTAGGGTGATTTCTTCTAGCGCCGCGTCGACGAAGGCTCGCGGGGTAATGCTCGCGGCGAGCGCGCCGAGGAGTTCTTCTTCTCCCTTCATGGATCGGTAGATTTCCAACTTCCACGGCGAGAGGATCGCGGCCCACTGTGACAGTCGCCCCTGTCGTCCTTTGGACCGGAACAACCAGGCGAGTGTCGTGTGACGTGTCAAGACGCGGACTGGTCTCCCTGCTAGCATCGTGTAGCACTCGTTTAAGACGCGCAACAGGGCCAAGATCTCCTTTTCGACGATGTCGTAGTTCAGCTCGTTGGGCTTCAACGTACCACTGGTGAACTTCACAGGCATGTACACTTCGTCGTGGACCTGCGTGAACACCCCTGAGATGGCCCAGTCGCTGGCGTACACGATCACGACGGATTCTCGGTTCGCGCCGAAGTGTTTCAACATTGGGGTCTCGGCGAGTTTTGCCTTGAGCGCGTCGAAGGCGCGCGTCGCGTGCGTCCACTGCTCATGTCCACGGACATCTGGATGCGTGACGTACTCGCTGTCGGTCTCCGTCAGCGAATACAGCGCGGTAGCGTACACCGCAAAGTCTGCAATGATCCGGTGGTAGTAATTGAGGCTACCCAAGAACGATTGCAGGCCCTTGAGCGTGCGCGGGAACTCGAGCGACGTCAGCGACTCCAGATTCTTCGGCTTCGCCTCGAGACCGAGTCCTGAGACTCGGTGGCCCAGGTAGTCGACCTTGGACATGCCCCACTCGCTCTTCTCGACACCGATGGACAAGTGCCACTGCTCGCAGACATCCAGCAAGCGTTCGACCTTCTCGCACAGGTCGTCCCACGACGTACCCCCGATGAGGATGTCGTCGATGTACGACCTCCGTCCCAGAACGGAGTGAATACCTGGCTTCACCGGTTCGCCGTCTCCAAAGACGTCCCGAGTGCTGCCATCCAGGGACAGCTTCATGAACCCGTAGAGCGCGTTGTCGATCAAGCGTTGGTAAATCTGCGGCGCGTTGCACAGGCCGAACGGCATACGCAGCCATTCGTACAGTCCCATCGGCGTGATGTAGGCTGAGATGAGCCGGGCCCGGTCTGTCATGGGGACGACCCAGAAGCCGCTCGCCATGTCGAGGGAGCAGTACCACAGATACTTGTCCAAGTCTTCAAGCAAGTCGTTGACGAGCGGCATGGGGTAAATCATCAACTGTGTCAGCCCGTTGATGAGCCTGTAGTCAATGCAAAGCCGGATATCGACGCCGTTCTTCTTTATGATCACGACAATGGGCGACGCCCACGGCGACTTCGACTTCTGGATCATCCTCGCGCTCAGCAGCCCTTTGATCAAGTCGACGACCTTCCCTCGAAACTGCGGCGGGATTTTCCGGACGCGTTGCGCGACGGGTTTTGCGTCGCCCACGTCGATGTCGCAGACAATACCCAGGGCGGCCGGCGGCAAGGCGTTGCCTTTGCCGATCAACCACTTCCGTCGCTTCCAGATGATTTGGCGTAGCCGCGTTTCTTGCGGCTTCCTCGGGCGGGAGTCCAGTCGGCATGCCGACCTTCAAGTCCTCGTTCTTCACCTCGGCGGTCAGCGAGAAGTCTGGCAGCACTGCCATCTCAGACTCGAGATCCTCTACGAACAGGTCGGACCCCTCGTGGATGAGGACCGCGTCGTCTTCCTCATCATCATCAGGTTTCGCCTCGTCGAAATTCGGCTCGGCGGGGTTTGGTCCGTCGAGTTTTGGCTCGTCGAGTTTTGGTTCGGCGAGTTCCGACTCCGGCGATTCTTCCATCGCAGTGCTTCCAGCCACAGTCGGAGGCATATCGGGTTCACTTTCCACCGCCTCCTCGTCCGTATCCGGCTTGTGGTCGTCGGGTGGCAAGTCTACCCCCCTTCCCTTCGGCGCTTCCGCGACAGCCGCCAACACTGGGGTCACGGTGCGTCGCGTCCCGAGTTGTCTCGGCTCCGGGCGCAAGATGGCTTTAGGCGTCGGGTATGAGGGGCGATCCGTCATCGGTCCGTCGAGCTCGGCTGGGATCCAGTTCTCCTCCGCGTCGCGCGTCGCGCCGTACGCCAGATTCTGCCACTGCTGGTACCGGGTGGAGCCCAGTCGGACGAATCCACGGTTCCGAGGCTGGCCGTCAGACGGCGTCCACCACCCAAGCGTTTCATGCGCGTCGAGGGTTATCGCTGCGTCTCCGATGTTCGTGACACGCAGGTACGTTTTATTTCCGACTCTCCCCTTGACAAAGGTAGTCACCCACGACTCTGCCCGTGTCACCCACAGGAACGGTGCGTTTCGATCCGGCCTCAGCAAGACTTCATGCGTGTCTCCTGGTTCGAGCCTCACAGGCGTCTTGACGTTGACCGGGTGCATCCGTGCGCCGTATAACGGTTTTCGTCCGATCATCTGGATATGCACCTCGTCGGGGAGGCACGCCGTGCCATCCGCAGTGTCGATGCGCACTCCAGCGGGCACCATGAAGTTCATTCCCAGGATTGCGTGTTGGCCGACCAAGTCGCCGACCCACAGGTGCATGTAGTACACCAAGTTCCCAGCCAAGGTAATCTTGACTCTGGTTCTCCCCACCGTGTAATATGTCTCATCACGAATTCCCACACACTCTTGCGTGATCTCCGTGTCAATCAGGCAGCCTACCTCACGAGCAAAGGTGGTGTCCAGGATGGACACCTCGGCACCTGTGTCGAGCAATAACACAGCACGGCGGTTGTTCAGCTTTCCATGAATCTTGGCCTGCTTGTACAACTTGTGCGGCGCGTAATGTTTCCAGTATCCGCGTCGCTCTCCTGGTTGCAAGTCGATCTCGTCCAGGGGTGGTTCACGTGCAAACTCGTCGTCCGTCGTACGTCGGACCGCCGAGATTCGCGGCGCGCGTTCTTGCGTGGTACGTTCCGGGTTGGATTCACATGTATTATCATTCAGGGAAGTCGGGCTCTCACTAACCACCTCTCACGACTTCTTGGTCACATATCCATAGCCGGAAACATGTCGCTCGTCTCGTACTGGTTTCCAAGCCAGCGAGCGTCCTAGTTTAACATCTTCTCGGCGGCCGGCGGCAGCATTCCCGCGTGTTTATTCGGGTCAAACCACTGACGCAATTGGTTGAAGAACTCCTCCATCGGGCATTCTCCGGCTTCGTGCACGTCACCGCAGGCCTTGCACACCCTCAAGCATCGCTCCGTCGGGTGTTGGCCACCACACTTCTGACACGTCAACAACTTTCAGCACATAGCGACGTGAACCACAGTGGCGGCACCGCGGGCGGTCGCGTCCCGAGTCGTCGGGATCGAAGTTGCGACGCGCCGGCTCTCCCGGCGGGGCCTGTCCCGCGACGAACAACTTGGCGCGTTCTTCGTCCTCCCCGTCTTGATCGTACTGGCGATCGTCGCTGTCGCGACTCTCGCGTTCCGAGTCGTACTCGTCCGACGCAACGTGAATCGCATGCACGGCGCGCGCCGGCTGAGTCGGCGGGGTCGGAGCCTTTTGGCGGAACTTGTTCGAGCCGAAGAGAGTCTTCTTCTGGTGAGCCAATCCACGTTGTCGGGCACGCAGCTTCTTCTCCAGCGCCTCGGAGTCGGCGACCTCCATCAGCGTGAGACGCGAGGCGAGTTCGGCCTCCTGCGTGTTCAGCGTCCGGATGAAATGCTCGACGTGTTCGCGCTTCTCTTCAGTCGTGCCCTCGGCGTATGGGATGTTGGCCCTCAAGCCCGCCACGTTGAGCCGGTACAAGTAATCCAGAGGGGTCTTGTCGGGGCGCTGAGCCGCATGGTAGTAGCGACTGGCCATTGACACGCCCTTGGCGCAGTACTGCACCCGGAATTGCTCCATCAGCCCGGTCCATGATTTCTTGACCTTCCTGGGCAACTGGAGATACCATTGGCGCGCAGGGCCGCTCATTAGATCGCTGAACTGCCCGCACACTTCTTCGCCCGTCATCCCGTCGCGCCGCGCGGCGGACTTCAGACGGTTGAGCCACAGTCTGGCTTTCTCTTCGCTGGCGTACCGTCCCGAGAACTCTTTCAGCTCGGAAGATGCTGAGAGGCGTACGCGGGCGAGGGCTACGCCACCGGCTGTCACCGTCGAGACGGCGGCCGCGGTTCTTGGCACTCCGATGTCCAAGTCGAACAGGTCATCGGGGTCCTCGTCCGCGTCGCGTCGAGTTCTGGACCTCGTCGAGGAACGCAAACTGACCGACTCCATGGCGACATCCGCTGCCTCCTGGACCGTGGGTGTGGGATCCGCGGGCGGCTTCGGCCCCGTCGGAATTGCGGCCGTGTCGGCGCGCGGGGTGTTCATCACTGTCGTCTGCATCAGCTTGATGATAGATTCTCTCAAGGCCTTGGGAAGCACCTCCTCGGCGGGTTTCGTCACCTCTGTGCGTGCGGGCGCCGCGGATAGCTGCATGACGCGCGGCGGCCGGTTCATGGGCATGCGCTTGGGCGACTCGAAACTGCTGTCGGAGTCCACGCTCGATTGGTATCGAGGTGGAGGCGAGGGCGTGGTCGTCGAAGTCTGGGCTGGACCCGCCGAGGGGCTCGGCGCGTCTTGGCCCGTCGCGGAACTCGTCGCGTCTTGTTTGACAGATCCGGCGAGAATCGCCAAGGGCTCCTGCACGACGCGAATCGCACGTAACCAAGATTTGAGGTCCCAATCGCACAGCCTCTCCATCTCGAAAGCCCCCAGCACGAACCCCGAGTCACGCAGCATCTGGAAGAGAGTCGGCGCGGCGTGGGCAACGCTGGTGAGACTATCGAAGTCCGGCGCCACGAAGGGGCCTGTGAAGTTGCTCATCAGCATGGGCTTGAGGAAGACCAAGATCGGGTCTTGCTCCAGCAGCCGGAAGAGCTCAGTGCGTGCCACGACGTACCGCACCTCTTCGACGGTGTACTGGCGCCCCGCGTCCTTGCCTTGCGGCTTAGACAGCGACGCTTCCGCCGAGTCCGGCGCGCGCAGCTTCTTCTTCTTCCTCCTCTTGGGCGACTTGCGCTTGGCGGTGGCCTTGGCGGTGAGTTGTTGTTGGTCGTCGGCCTTTGCAGGCTTCCGACCAGTAGGACCGCGACGTATGTCGCGGCTCCCTCGTCGGGAGCCACATCGGGAACGGCAAACTGTTCTTCGTAGCCCTCCTGGTCGTCGCTGGCCCCGTGGCCTGTCGTGAAGGTTCCCTCAGAGCTCCACGACGCGACAGGTCTCTCACTGTGCTCTCTTGCGGTCGGCGACCTTCCAGCCGACTGCGCATCTGCCTCCGATGCCTCTTGGATCGTTAGCCCGTCATTCGAAGTAGTACTCCCGGGTCGCGGTACCATTGTGGAGTAGCGCCCTCGCAGAAATCTCTCGAATGCGATCTCGCACAAACTCGGCGCGTCTGGATAGCGGTCGCGCCGAGCAAATTATTCCCGGTTGTTGGAGTAGCGTATCTTCGAAATACAGGCCCAAGTCTTCGCAGGCTTCGGAGTTGGGGGTTCTTGTGTTGACGCTTTTTCCTTGTCGTAGGGCGTCGAGCCTTGGGCGTGCGGCGTTATCGGGCCGGCGTTTCCTCGGCGTTCCCGTCGGGCGTGCGGCGTTATCGGGCCGGCGTTTCCTGGGGGTTGTGTGGCGTTATCGGGCCTACACGGGGGTCTTGTGCACGGCGGTTATCAGGCCAGCGCGGTCCTTCGCCTAGGCAGCGCGTTATCGGGCGCCCACCTAAACGGTATACGTTTAACGTGCCTTTGTTCCAGCACGGGTCTGTGGGGGGTGAGCACCCGAACCAGCAAACGACGGGGGGCCGCGATATCGAGGCGGCTCTACTTGCCGGCGCTTGGTGGTTCCCCTGGAACCTCGGAGAAGACGGGAGGTCTTTGTGGTTCAGAGAAATTTCGGGACTGAGTCCTTATCCTATCCTATGCCCCCAGCTACTGCCTACTCCGTACTACTGCTTCCTAAGCCTATCGTTGTGTGCCTATCCCTACTTCTGTCGTGCTTGCACTGCCGTCCTTCAACCTGATTTGCGTGGCGCACTCAAGATCTTACCTCGGCGCGTTTTGGTCGGCGGGGTTTAGGGTCGGCGCGTTTTGCTCAGCGCGTTTTGCTCGGCGCGTTTTGCTCGGCGGGGTTTAGGGTCGGCGCGTTTTGCAGAACCGGGTGCGCTGGTCGACCCGTCGGATGATTACGCGTCGCACTGGATTCTGGCACCGTGTCTCACGGACCATCACCCACGCCGACTTTCCCGTCGAGCTCGGCCCTGCGTCGCGCCCATCAATCCGCGTCGCGTTCCATCAGCCGCGTCGAAGTCCATCACTCGCGTCCCGGCGCCTTCTTCCTCCGGCGCCCGGCGCGCCCACTTCTTCCGCGGGGTACTACACCAGACTGCCCTCGCCTCGACGCGAGGCCCCCACGCTGGTGAGCGTCTAGGCGTCCTCGGTTCTTCGACTCCATGGCTCCTCCGTCGCGTGCGCTCGCCGACGCGGCTGCCGCTGCTCTTCGGGCTCTCCAGTGCTCCGGACCGGTACGTTCGTCGCTCCTGCTGCTCCTCACTGTCATTGGGATCCTTGTTGTTGACTCCATCTCTTTCTTGATCATCTCAGGGAGCTGTTGATGTCGCCACCGACACTTCGGGTCGTCCTCCGGCGCACCAGGCTCGTTTGGCGGGTGCCACCGCCCCTACCGTCGCTGGTGCTGTGCCTCCAGCCCCGGCCGCGCCTGCAGGTGACCCTACGGTCCTTCCAGCCGCCTCCGGGACCTTGGTCGACCCTCCACCGGCTCCTCCAAGTAATCCTGAGTCTGATGCTGGGGCGACCGAGACACCCCCGCCGGCAGTTCCCATTGAAGAGGCTCCCGACTCGCCGCCGACACCACCGCCAAGCGCCAGCGCTCCACCGTCGCCAACTCCCGCGCCTTCGGTCACGTTGGCAACTCGCGGGGCGTCGGTGGGGGGGGCGAGGCAGCTGTAGGAGGTCGCGCCGGAGCTGGTGCTGGCCCGGCCGAGGTTCCTCCGACAGCGGTTGTCTTGGGCGAGCAGCAGGTGCTGGAACTCGCTCGTCTCGTCGTGGGTGTTGCCCGTTTGCCTCTAGCTCGAGTCAACCCTGTTCTCGACCGCAACCTGCAAGCTGCCACTAACGTCGGTGAGGTGCTGGCCGCGGCTGTGGCCCCTGTACGTTCCCTCTCGCGGAGTCGGATGGGCTGGTGGATCTCCGTCGCGACAACGATCGGTTGCGCGAGGAGCTCGTCGACACCTAAAACAAGCTCGACGAGGAGATGCATCTCCGCCAACGGGCTGACTATTTCCTTGTGACGGCCAACTCGGACTGCAACCAAGCGCTCCAGAACATCCAAGACATGCGTACCGAGCTCACACACGCTAATCAGCAGTTGTTGGAGATGAACGCGGCCATCTCCCAGCACGGCAACATTACTCGGTCGTTGGAAGGTCGGACGCAGACCGCGGAAGCAGACGCAGCAGCTGCTGTTCGCCGGAACACGCAGATCCATGAGCGTATCAAAGCAAGCCTCGTTGTCTACAACACCCAGTTGGAAAAGCTTCGGAAGCAGTTGGCCGACCGTGACCGAGCTGATGTTATCCCTGCCCGTATCAGGGCGTTGACGGACGAGAACAACAGCTTGCGACGGGCCAACTCTATCCTTCGACGGCACTCGGCAGCCTATGGGCTCTACGTGGATTCCTTGGTCTTGGCCTCGGCTGGCATCTCCGCCGCTGAGATCGACTGGAATCTCCTCGGGCTGTCTCCACTGACGGTCACTGTCGCGAGTCCGCGCCGTAACAAATCCTCGTCCGAGGAAGAGGAAGAGTCCAAGACGGCTGGCGTATCGATGGCTGAGCCTACCGAGGGTTCAGCTGCTCCCGCGGCTTCGCAGGTGGTGTCTGCTGGTTTGTCTGAGTCCACCGGGGCGTTCAAGCGCAAGCCCGATTCGCAAGCCGAGTCGGCCTCTGCCGAGGGCACGGTATCTCAGCCTTCTCCGCCCAAGCGTTTCGGTAGACCGTCGGTCGACCTGAGAGTCAGAGCTGCAGCGGCCGCTGGGTCATCCAGCCTCGGTCAGCATCGGGTGAGGTCCCTGCACCGCCTCCGTCGACGCCACGACCCTCAACGACGTTCCGAACTAGCCGGTTGGATGCTCAGCCTCTTCCGTACGAGCACTCGGACGTGCCGCTATACCCTAGGTTGACGGGCGCTACTCTAGTTCCTCAGCCAGCTCGGTCTCCACCTCCGCGGGACGAGGGGTATCCCGACTTCGAGTTCGGCGGTGCTGGAAGTCCAGACGACGTCCCGCAAGACGATCTTGAGCCCGGCGAGATTCCGGAAGCGCCGGCCGGTACAGAGGAGGCTGAAGGCCCCGCTTCCGAGGCTCCTGCTACTACCACCGAGTCTCCGCCTGCCGTCCCGGTTCCCGAAGCTGCGTCGATCGTGTCCCAAGCCTTGGTCAGCGTTGGTCCGACGGGCGACGCACCTGCCGAGTCTCCTGATGGTGACAACGAGGGTCCGTCTGCCTCGAGAAGCTCGCCGTCGGCTCCTCCAACGAGGACTGCCGCTGGCCCCGGTGACTCATCGCCTCCCGAGGGCTCGCCAGAAGGAGGGTCGTCGGATGGCTCGGAGACCTCGGAGGATCGTGCAGCACTCATGCGAGAGATGTTTGGCTCCGACGACGAAAGCGAAGCCTCGGCTGCCCAACGGACAGGTCCTGCAGCACCTCCGGCACCTCAGGCTACGGCGACCGAGGTTCCTGTGGTTGCCCAAGCCGCTCCAGCTGCGCTGCCCCAATGACCTTACACTCGGTCGACTTCGGTTCACGCTCACGCGTTAATGACAGCTACAGTGACTGCCACACCGAGGGCTGGTCCTGCTTCTATCGCCCCTGCGATGGTCGACGCTTCGGACGCGGCGGCAGGGTCGCGCAAGCTCAACAACCTGGCGTCACTGTTTCTCGAACCGGGATTCGTGTCACCCGGCGGTCAAGAGTGTTGGCGTTTGATCCAGAACGCTAGCGTGCCTCTCCTTTTTGACGACGACTTAGTTGCTCCGTGTTCGGCGGACGGAATCAAGGCCTTCGGCAAGTAGGAGAACCTCGCTCACCCTGTCCAAGTTCTGCGCCGGCTCATCCCTGATCCATGCCTGATCGACGTGACTGGGTACCCGCCAAATCGAGCAATTTCTGGACGGCTACCGGGCATCAACCCCTCGTTCGCCTGAGCAGACAGTTCCTGTAACGGGGTTACACGCACAAGTGGCTACAGTCACGTGTAACTCTAACAGACACGACGTCTGTTAGAGGTTCGAAAGACTTTCTCGAACTTGGTGTAGACACACCAAAGGCTGCATACATTTACGGCCACCACGGGTGGTCCATAGAGACTTAGGATTCATATTGGCTGAAAGCAGCATCTTTTAGCCAATGAGCGACATGCATAGCATTGGAATTCTGCCAACCAGCCGTTGGCAGATTCCTATCTTAGAATATTACATTTAGAGGAAGTCAGAAACATAAAACAAAAATAGCAGTTCTCATTTTAACCCAAAAACATTATTTGGATCGTTTATTTAGATTAATCTATACTCGGAGGCCCGAGTATAATTAACTCTAAGTTAAACTAAGTTACGCTTCCTCGTACACGTGCGCACACGTGTAAGCTAAAGTAGTGAGCCAAAGTAGGCCCATTACACCTGGTAGCACTTTGTAGTCCGTCCAACGACCGACTACCTGAGTTCGTATGTCACCGCACGAACGCGGAGCTGAGAACCTTCCAGAGGTGCCCATGGAAAGCTCCACTACGCCTGCAATTCACGTTGCACGCGCTGACTGTCCCCACCTGTCGGATCCAGAGTGGGAAGCTCTCCAACGACTGTCAACAGTCATTGGTGATGCGGCGGTAGCTACGATACTGCGTACGCAACGCCGACAGAGCAACACGGTGTTGCTCTGGGTTTCATTCTGAAGGAACAACGCGATGTTGCTACTACTACCGCGGTGCCGTCCGGGACGACACCACGCGCGTAATCGCTGAAGCTCAATATGAGCAACTATGTCGGAAGAGAGGGTGAACCTCTCCTCCGTTGGCTTGTCGAACTCGACACAGCCATTGCGGCTCGACATATCGTCGACCCGTTGTCGAAGGTTGCGTTCGCCATGTCATGTCTTGGTGGGCGTGCAAGAAGTTGGGCGTATGGACGCCGACTCTCGGACCCTACGTGCTTTAGCACGTACGAGGGTTTCAAGGAAGAGCTCAGACAAGCGTTTGAGCCCCCGCAAAACGAGTTCCGGTCGAGAGCGGAGTTCCTCGACCTGCAGCAGGGCCAGCATGATGTCCATGCTTACGCTCAGGGAGCACGGTACTTGGTCTCGAACATCGTGACCAATCCGATCGACGAGGCGACCAAGGTCGTCACGTTCATGAAGGGACTGAGAGATGGGCCTGTGAAGACCTATCTCTTCCGTGAGTACCCGAGTACTCTCGAAGCTGCAATTACTCTTGCAATGCAGGAGGAGTTTAGCCTGCGGCAGGCTAAGCTGCATGCACATCTGCCGAGGCCACAGCCACGCCCGGTAGTGAGGACGGGAGGCCCAGAACCAATGGACCTCTCGAATGCAACGGCTGTTGATTATCAACAGCAACAAGAAAGTAATGTACGATGCTTCCGTTGCGGAAGGATCGGTCACTATGCCCGAGAGTGCACGGCACCCGTGCACCGAGATGGTGGTCGATGCGGCGATGCCGGGCATCGTCGCGGACAAACAAAAAACGCTGGAACCCAGTAGGCGCGGGGCGCCCTACTGGTAATGCAGTTCCGCGTGTCGACCTTGGACACGCGACACTGAGGACTGCAGCCCCCAGTGAGATTCATTCTCACTGCAAGAACCAAGATGACATGCTTGACCTTGTCAACCTGAACGTGAACTCGATGAGAGCAAGCGGCTCTCTCCGTGCTTTGGTTGATTCTGGCGCGTCGAACAACTTTGTTCGACTGCGAAGTCTATCAAGGCTTGACTTCGAGGAGGTAATTATACCTCGAAGTATGTTGGAAGTTCGATTGGCAACGGGTGCCATCGTTAAAACCGAGAAGCGCATGGTACGCGTGCGCTTCATGTACGAAGATCAACAGTTTTTCGAGACCTTTATCGTCCTGGATCTGGACGATAAGTTTGACATTGTATTGGGCATGCTGGGCAAGCCACGGCATGATCCGGTCATCGATTGGGAGAAGCCACTCTCGTGCGCTTCGGTCGCGACAGCGGAACAGTGAGCGGTGGCCCTGTTGCCGCTACGCACGCACCGACAGGTGCGCGCGACTCCCCACTCGAGGCAGCGTCTAATACCGCTGTCCCGGAGCACCCTGTGCGCGCGCGAGCACGCGCGCAAGAGCAGCTAGCGTCGGCGTTGCCGCCGACAGCTAATGAAGGAAATGTGTTGACCTCGGAGGTCGACACCCGCTTTTCAGCGAATCAGAAAGAGTCTCAGGTCTCAAGTGGCACGGATGACACAGGCGAGTCACACGCCCCAGCCGTGGAGGCTGACGCGAATCTGATTGGATCAGTTTTGGCCAATAATAAGACCCAAGGTGACGAAACGCCGTCGACTCCGGGAGTCGATAGCTTGGACGAATTTGATTCGTCGGCTCGGGGAGCCGACGCACCCTACGCAATGGGGTCTCCGCCAATGGTTGGCGTCGAGGTACTAAAGTCGCGACGGTTCCGGGAACCGGCGCTGCGAAAAGAAGTTTCGCGTCGACTCTGGGAGTCGACGCACCCTTTGTAACGAAGGGCTCCGCCAATAACAGGCGTCGAGGTGAAGATGGCGGTCGGCTCCGGGAGCCGACGCTGCAGGCGGTGCGGACGGTTGCAAACGTCCCGCACCGGAAAAACTTGCATGCTGTCGTGCAGCCGACTGCACGACAAAGCGCCGGGCGACCAAGCCGGACTTGAAGTCGCTCGCCCGCGGGATAAACCCGCCGGCTGTACCGAAGAAGAACACCCGTCCACGGTTGGGCCTGGACGAGGTCAAGAACCAAGCGGAGCCGGGCTCCGCAAAACAAGAAGACGGCGCATGCGAAGGTCGCTGCGCAAGTCTCGGTCTGGGGCCGAGACGCTACAAGAAATGTCTGCCGGGCAGACGGAGGCTGAGAAGCCGGACGTCGAGACGTTGAACGTCTTGACGCGTACCTGTGCCGGGTTCCGGTACAGGGAGATGACTCTCGCTAATCCTCCGCCGCAAGCGTCGGAGTTGACTTCGCTTCCAGTCATGAGCTGGAAGCGCTTCGTGCGTGACTTGCACGATGGACGCATCGAGCAAATATGCATTCTCTCGGACGCCGAGAGAACGAAGAGCGAGAATGAAGAACTGAGGCAGTTCTTCATGAAGACCACCACTGAGAGTGAGGACACTCTCAGTGCGAAGACTAATGTCGTATAGGAAAACACGATTTAACGAGTCTTCGTCCCTCTAGCCAAGGCTTTTGGGACGAGCCCTTCCAACAACACGCTTCTCTCCTAAAAGTTCGGCGCTTATTGTTGGGATTAAATCTGAAGGCCAGATCTGATCCCTTACACCGGGCTGGATTGTGCCTTGTGCGAGTCGTCGGTCAGGTAGGTAGAGCCCGTAAATCAAATATAAGAGCGCCCTTAGCCACGAGCTACGGCTAGGATGCAATCTACACACGCGATTTCACGCTTAACCCACTGTGGCCCCTCAGAAGGAAGGGTACCAGGCCAATCGAGGCCTCGAACAGGGGCGCCGGGGCGAAGCCTCGGCTGGAAGTCAAATATACTGGGGGGCCACGCCACACACCCAGACAAATGTACAACTGTACCGGGAGGTCTCTAATACCTCAAACACTCGGCCACCACTCACTCTTGGCCCTTCCAGGGATGAACACTCGGTCAATGTACCTTATGCTCACCGGCAGACATACCCCGCGTCGGCCGAGCGTATCCAGACTCTACAGCTAAGCTAAGACTTACCGGTAGACGGACTTGACCCTTGTGTGGCTTCGGGGGGAAATTTCGCTCTGATTTAGTGATTAGAGGCTGTGAGGCCTTCCCTATAACTAATCCCTAATGTCTATACAAATATCAAGTATCATCCGAATCGTCGAGCCGGACCGACAACTCGACGACTCCTCGGCTGGGTCCGGATTCCTAATGAGAGGCAAATCTTGTACCCACTATGACTACCTGGAGGGCTCGGCGGGGATTTATTATGACCCGCCGTGCCTGGTCACTAAATGGCTATCCATCTGTCGCTCTAGTGCGGGGAATGAGAGTAACCAACCAGAGTGCTCGGCTGGCCGTCACTCGAAGGTTCAAGACCGTTAGTCCTCGGCGCGGGCCGTTCTCGGTCATTTCCCGATATCACAGCAGCCCTCACCGAAGCCCGACCCAGCCCAACTGGAGAGTGTCGTGGTGCACGCCGTCTCTGCCTTCGCGCAAGCTGCCGCCCTCCGTGCCGTCGGCTCTGATTCCTCGGTAAGTCCATATCCTTGGTGAAGTATCTGTTCGTCATCGCGCCGCAGCTTCCGTCGCTAACCTTCTTCCTCTTGCCATGTGCAGCCGCCTGCTGCGCCACACTCATCTGCTAGCGGGAGAGGCTCTTCCGCGCCTCCACCCGAGGGCTCGGCGTCTTCTCTCGAGGGCTCGGCGGTGCCAACTTCCGCCTCTGCTTCGGCAAGCGTGGTACCCCGCGCAACGCCTGTGGCTGCTCAAGCGCCCGGCGTTCCTGGCGCGTCTCCGTCGCCAACTCCCGTTGCAGCTGGTGCTGGCGGGGCGTCGGATGAGCGCCAGGACTCGGTCGAGGTCGATACTGCCCGTGTCTCTGTTGACTCCGGTCTCTCCGAGCCTTCGATGTCGAGCCCCCGTGAGCGGTCGTCACCAACTCCCAGGAAGCCGGTGGAAGGTGGACGTGGGGTGTCGGCTCGCTCAGAGGTAGGTGCTCCATCTTCTCCTCCTCAGTCTCCGTCGAGTGTGCGGTCCGATGACTCGGTCGACCCTGTGTCTGGCCCAACGCGGTTTTGCCGATTAATATACACGGAAGCCCACGAGCCCGCTTCGCCCGAGCCCTCGTCGTCGGCTCCTGGTGACGCCCCTGAGTCCTCGCCTCGCGCGCCGATCCCTTGGTCGCTTGAGGCAGCACTCGAGGACCTGATCGACGCAAGCGTCGCTCGCACCGTGCGCCGCTCCGAGTCTCGGTTGGAGGATCATCTGGACCAACGGTTGGCAGACCTCGGCCAGCTCATGATCGGCCTCGTTCGGTTCCCGCCGCTGCGAGTCGACTACGACCTCGACCAGCGTTTGGCTGATGCCCGAAGTCTCAGCGATGTCTTCCGAGCAGTCTCGCCAGACGCCTTGCCGCGTTCCCTCGGCTTGGATGAAGAGGTTGAAGCCCTACGCCAGGAGGTCCGTCGTCTCGAGGAAGCCGCAGTTCGTAGTGAGCGCAGGCTCAACAACGAGAACGACATTCGTCTCCGCACGGAGCAGCTGTGTACCCAGGCGTCGGCTGAGCGAGGGCAGTTGGCTACGGTTGCCCAGGCCCTTCGCGATGAGCGGGATTCCATTAGCCGACAACTCGCTACGGCCAACCGAGCTCTCGCTCAGAGCGTTGAGGTGATCGATCACCTGAAGGCCCAAGTTTCGAAGCGCGACTCTTCGCTGACGAGCCTTCACGCCGTCATCAAGAAGGATCGTCAGAGCTTTCGTGAAGGGCTGTCTCGCTACTCTGACACCCTGAAGAAGTTCCATGCGTATCTCCAGCAGTCGAACGATCAACGCTTCATCCTGGCGAACCTTGACCTAGGCGATGACTCGCTGCTGCCTCCCGTACTCAAGGAGTTCCTCCGAGACTTCGCCTCCATGGATTTCGAACTCTCGGTGGCGACGGCCCCGCTGAAGCGTCCGCGTGAGGCCTCACCCGGCGGCTGTCCGCCCGTCTCCCAAGTCCAAGGCCCGGAACCAGACGAGTCCTGACTCAGATCGAGACGAGGACTTCGGGGACGTCGGCCTCTTCTCGGAGAGCTCGGACGATGACGAACCTTTGTGCCATCGTCGAAGAGTCGGAAGAAGCTGACTGGGTCGACTCCTACAACCGTCGCGTCGTCCGCTGTCCCTCGGAAGCCCGCTCCTTCAAATCTGAAGTCTCAGCACGGCCGTCCCTCAAAGCCTCCTGTAAAGAGGAGCGCATCCACGCTTCGGCGTCCTACTGGCAGTCGGCCACTACGTCTTCCTGCTGCTTCGGCAACGTCGGCGGAGCAGGCAACTGCTTCGAGCCGAACGCTTGCCTCATCGGCAGCCATCTCTGAGGTCGGCACCGAGGCGTCGGTTCCCCGCCCTCTGGTCGCGCCGTCGTCTCCGCACCCTTCGGACGCCTCCACCTCGTCGTTGCCCGGGTCGCCGGATCGTCTGTCCAATTCGTCTGCAGTACCCTCAGACCGGGCACGGGGAGCAGAGGACGTCGGGAACTCTTCGGTGCTGACTACGACTCACCTTACGAGGCTTCGGTTGTTATTCAGCCTCGCAAGGATGCGTTCGGCGCCCACTGTGGCTTCTCTCCAGTCCAAGGTCGCGGTGGAGAGTGAGAACGCCCCTGACGACGTGGTCCTGGGTCTCGACGAGCCGTCGGTTCGGCGCCCTGTCGAGGTAGATCTCACTCGCGAAGGGGAGAGTTCGGACCCGGTAGCAACTCGCACTCCTGCGTCTTCGCGTGGTGGATCGAGTCGCAACCCCAAGAAGGTGTCAGCTAAAGGAGCTAAGATACAGCTCCGTCAGCGTTCACAAGCTCGGGCCCTTCCTGTTGCTCCAGTCGCACCGGCTTCACGTCCGAGGGTTGAACCTGTGCAGCCGAGGGCTGGTCCCGTTCCAGTCCGTCAGACTACTGTTCAAGCCCGCCGTGCTGAGGCCTCGTCTCGCCCGGCTGCGTCGACTGCTCGCCGCGACCAGCTTCATCGCCGCGGTAACTATGACGGGTCACTCCTGTCGCCTCCGTTCGCGAGTCCTGGAGCAAAGGAGTGCTGGCGAGAGATCCTGGAAACTCGAACCGTCCCGCCTGTCCAACGTCTGCCCAAGTCGAGTGTTCGGTTGACGGGATCCAAGTTTTCAGCGACTGGACGAATCCTGATCACCCCTTCTGGCGGTTCATTGAGAGTCTCCCAGCCGAGCCTTGCTTGTTCGACGTGACCGACTTCCTTCCGGACGTTCCTATCTCCATTCGTGCGACGGGAGTCGCGTTGCTCACGAAGCTGTGGCGTCAGTTTTGTTGCCGAGCAGTCGGTTCAACCGAGAGTCACGATCTGGCTTTTGCGTTGTACGAGCGTGCGCACTGGGCGTCTCCGGTGGCAGTAGAGCGATGGCTCGACCGTATGTGTCGAAGACTCGGAGAGGATTCCGAAGAGTACCTAGCCATCCAGGAGACGTGGCTCCAGTACTCGGCTGAGCGCAACGCTCGGTCCGATCGCCTCCGCATTCAGATCAAGCGCTGGTGGGCCCAACTGCTGCCCGATGCGGATGGGAAATTCGGCTACACCCCCGAGGTATTATTCGAGCCCTCGGTCCTGCACTATTCCCTCGAAACGCTCTCGTGGCTTCCGTCTTCGGCAGATTGGGTTGAGGCAGTCGTTGAAGCTGATGGCCACGAGCCTTGGCGTAACTGCTGGATTGCTGTGCCAAGCATTCACCCCTACAACACCAGGTTCGCACCATGCAACCCTGGGGCGATGCTCTTTATTCCTCGCGGGTTCACTCTCCAGGAAGTGGCGTCTGCCGTTATCGTCAGTCCGGTGCTCGAGGTCTCGGCTCCGTGGGTCCGGGAGTACACCCACTACCACGGCGTTCCTGCTCCTGCTGAGGAGCTTCTCGATGAAAGTTCGGTTCAAGCAGCTACGGACGGGCAAGAGGTAGCGGGGAATGACCCACGGCCGGATGACTCTCCAAACGGGGCGCCGACTCTTCGTTCGCCCGAGCGCTCGGACGATGCTGCTTCTCCTGAGCCGAGCCTCGTTCCGATACCTCCGGCTGGATCTGACGAGCCCGTCCTCAGTTCTGGAGACGAGGACAACCAGATCGAGGGCTCGGTTGAGGAGTCGACATCTCCGCCGGGACTCCAGCGCCCGGCCGCTGGCTCTGGCCACCTCCAAGTGCTCGCTCACGCCGCTTCCGCGTCGAAGCCATAGGCTCGCTTTCTCCTCTTCGTTTCTTCTGCCCGGCCTGAACGTAGTCTTCTCGATGCATTGTAGTGTTTCTCAGTCTGTGGGCGTCGTCAGATTTCTAATTTCAAATTCAAACAGCATCTCCATGCCTCCACTTGAGTAGTTCGTAGGATCCATCCGAGAGTTCGTGCAATATGCATACATGTAGTAAATGTTGCTGCAGTAGTTCTTTTCGTCTGCTGAGGCGGGCTGCATCGCCCCGCCGGCAGTTCATCATGTTGCGCCAGTCGCATCTAGTGCTCGTCTGCGACTTGGACCGTCTGCAAACGACGATCGCTGCGCTTAGCGCGCAAGTAATCGTACAGCATCCCTCCGCACGACAGGTTGGACGCGGGCTCCCACGTGGGTTCATCATAACCAACCCATTTCACTTGGAACTCTCTGACCGCGCGTTCAGTGCCCGTCGAGAGCGGCGTTCGATCATCCAGAATAGCCTCCACCTCGTACTCACCAGTGAGGTGGTCCGATTCAAAGCTGTCTTCGGGTAGAAGCTCTTCATCGAAGTCTAGTCTCGTCTCATCCGTGACGTCAGTTACCAACCGAGTCTTCGGTCGGTCTCCAAACTCGTTCAATTTCTTTAGTCGAGATATGGACGACTGGGTAGAATCTATACCCACTCCGGTCTGGTAGAGCCAGCTCATACGCGTACTCGTCCACCTTCTTCTTGATTCTTAAGGGGCCATGCCAGCGATGCGCCAACTTCTTCGTCAGCCCCGGTTTCACACGCTCCATGTAGATCCAGGCACGATCACCCGGCTCAATGAGCGACTTCGAGGTTTCGGTCGACGAGTCATCGGTCGGGTCCATCGTTTCAGTGTTTTCACCTGAAGGTTCGGTTCGGTCAGACGTCGGTAGAGATTCTCGTTCGCGTCGACTCAGGGTCTCGTTGTGCTTCTCGGCTCGTTTGGCTTTCTCTGTCGCCCGGTACTCTTTGGCCATCTCCAAAGCGATCTCCTGTTGCCGATTGACTTCTCGTCTCCAAGCCAAGGCGTCGGTTTGGCGACCGCGGCCTCGTTTCAGTGACGAAGACATAGCTCGAAGTGTCGTCCGCGCATCCCAGCCGTGTACAAGGTAGAACGGCGTGTCCTTGCGCGTGGCGTCCTCCGAGTTGTTGATAGCAAAGATCAGCTTCTCCACGATCTCATCCCAGTCCTGTTGCAGCGGGTCTTCCGCGTACACTCGAACGGACTGTATGACATTCTTAACCGAGCGTTCCTGCTGGCCGTTGGCTTGTGACCGATAGATCAGGGTGGCCCGAGACCTCGATTGCATCATTTCCGTAAATGCTTGGAAGACTTCGCCCATGAAGCGAGGGTCTCTGTCATGTCGGAGGAGGGTAGTGTCGTATAGGGAAAACACGATTTAACGAGTCCTCGTCCCTCTAGCCAAGGCTTTTGGGACGAGCCCTACCAACAACACGCTTCCCTCCTAAAAGTTCGGCGCTTATTGTTGGGATTAAATCTGAAGGCCAGATCCGATCCCTTACACCGGGCTGGATTGTGCCTTGTGCGAGTCGTCGGTCAGGTAGGTAGAGCCCGTAAATCAAATATAAGAGCGCCCTTAGCCACGAGCTACGGCTAGGATGCAATCTACACACGCGCTTTCACGCTTAACCCACTGTGGTCCCTCAGAAGGAAGGGTACCAGGCCAATCGAGGCCTCGGACAGGGGCGCCGGGGCGAAGCCTCGGCTGGAAGTCAAATATACTGGGGGGCCACGCCACACACCCAGACAAACGTACAACCGTACCGGGAGGTCTCTGATACCTCAAACACTCGGCCACCACTCACTCTTGGCCCTTCCAGGGATGAACACTCGGTCAATGTACCTTATGCTCACCGGCAGACATACCCCGCGTCGGCCGAGCGTATCCAGACTCTACAGCTAAGCTAAGACTTACCGGTAGACGGACTTGACCCTTGTGTGGCTTCGGGGGGAAATTCTAAGGTGCCTGGCCAGTTTAGCGCAAATTTGCGAAGTGTCGCCGCAGTACAGCGATATCTCGCTGTAGACTGGGGTGATTTGAGCACGAAGACCACCTACCGAAAGCTCATTATTAGGACTATCTCGTCTATTTATACGGCTTCTAGCAGGCGATTTAACGAATTGGTGGCTCGTTAGGCAGAGCACACCGAAAGGCCGCCCGTCCAGTTTACCGCAGCCAAACATATAGAATTTTGTAGCGGTGCCCATCACCCTTTGCCCATTTCAGTACTGATTTCGGAATTTCTACCAATGGTGTGGCCAATACCATCTCCACTGGATGAAATTGGACAAAAATCCCATTTCTTTTAAGAACGCATAGCAGGCTACAGTAGTGGCTGCTATTCGCAGCCACTGGTTGCCTTGGGTAGCCTCAGTTTGCAGATGCCCGGAAGACGCTTAAGCTACACAGACACACAAATTAACACCGCCGTGGCCCAAGTTCTCGAGGGTGCCTCTATCTCGCAAGTGAGCAAGACGAGTGGCGTGCGCTATCGGACACTAGCAAGTTCAGTAGCCGCAGCAAAACGTGGCGAGTTCCGCGTCCGCGGCCCAGCGCCTCTGCTACCAGCCGAAGCTGAGATCAATCTCTATGAGTGGGTTCTTGGCCGCCAGCAGGTCCTTCGCCCTGTGACCAGTTCACAAGGCAAGCACAAATCCAACCTACTGTTCCAGAGAGGTCTCGGTGACGGCTGGTACAAGCGATTCATGCAGCGGTTCCCTCTGCTTTCGACGCGCACAGCTCAGGCCATTTCAAAGGCACGGAACAGCGTCACGTCAGATGACGTAACGTTGTTCCACACGACGTTAGCAGACGCCTATGAGAAATACGGATTCGAAGCGTGCATAGTCTTCAACATGGACGAGACAAGCTTCGCGTCGAAGAAGAACACCAAGACCGTGGTTGCAGCTCGCGGGTCCCGCAACGTCTGGACGGCCGAGGTATCAACCAGCTTTCATCTTACAATCGTAGCCTGTGGTGGAGCGGATGGCACCGCAATTCCACCAGCTTTTATTCTACCAGGCCAAACTGTCATCCTCAACGTCCTGGGCTTTTGCACCGTGCCCAGAGCAGCCGTCTCGACGACAGAATCCGGCTTCATGAACGCGGATGTGGTGTAGGGAACATCAAGATTTGTGTCACACTCCAAGGCCGCAGTGGAACAACGTACCAGGAGCCAAGTTCTACTCGGCGGGATGACCGTCCGCCGAGCTCAGTGGGCAAGAATGCGCTGATGGACCGCTGAACTCGGCTGATGGTGTCAGAAACTCAAGCCACACCGGCCCCGACCTGGTGACACGTGGCAGACCCAGTGATGAAGACCCAGCCGAGTTCAGGAAGGCACTGGACAGGCTCATCCGAGATCATGGGGGGGGGGTCAAGCCGCCGAGCTCAGGCTGAACGGTACCATGTACCGTCCGATACGGTAACCAGGCTCAATTGAGTCCGGGAGTTGCGCAGTCGAGTTCACGGGTCGCTCTGCCGAGTTCACGAGTCGCTCCGCCGAGTTCACGAGTCGCTCCGCCGAGTTCACTGGGTTATCCGGCACCTTATCCGGCTCAACCGAGTTCGCCAGGTTATCCGGACACGCCGTATCCGGCTCAGCCGAGTTCAAGGGGTTACCCGGACAGGTTATCCGGCTTAGCCGAGCTCGAGCGTCGCCGAGCTCGGTGAAGAGTCGGCCGAGATCCAAAACCGCCCACTTTCATTTGGTATTTGTATAGGAGCTTAGGAATAGTGGAGGCGCCCCTTCAGGGCGCCCGACAGAGATAACAAACAACAGAGCAGAATTTTCTAGGTCCACAACACGTGCACGCGCTTCCAGTAAGCCCCTGCACGGGCCGGATTATGTCTGCTGTCAGCACCCGAGAGGCATAGCTTGTAGGGTGTTGACTGGTAGCGCCAAGAGATTAAGGTCGGCCCGGGTTGGGCGCGTGTCTCGCCAAGCGCGAAGGAAAAGTCTCGCCACCGCTGCGAGCCGGTGTTCCCGTACGTCCCAGGCACTGATTGCTGAGTCGAGAAGCCTTTGCTCTCGGCGACCCGTAAAAGCCCGCGAGGGCCGTCGTCCGTCCTTTGGCGGAGGGCACGGGATTTCTAATTCCGGAGTCAGGTAACTCAGCTGGCTTCCGTGGTTGACTGGCTTGGGGCACTTGGTCTCGGCGAGGACGAGACATCACTGTCCCGGAAGGGCCGAACCGCTGGGGGACATCTCAGCGCAGGCCAACAAGGGCCGACTAGCTCGGCTGTTGTTGTGTTTGTGGCTTGGGTGCCACATCTGATGATTTTGTGAGTGCTACTACACCACAAATGGTGACGCGACCCGGGAGCAGGGTGGTTTGTTTTCGTTGGTACCAAGTCAACCAAGTTTCGAGTACTGAGCAAGATGGTCAAGGGGAGATCTTTGCCGAGCTGGGCCAGCCCAGCGACGGCTGGGGGTTCGTTTCACACGAAGCCGAACTCAGCTGGCGGAAGGATCGCCGACATGATGATGGAAGCGGTCCCAACCGTTCGGTTTGGCGACGACCGCACCCAAGACCGAGGAAGAGATGGAAATATCGGAGATTATGATGAAGAATTGAAGAAAGCTGAGTTGCTCAGCGGGGTAGCTGAGTTCTCGCTGCATGTTGGGCGCGTGGAGAAACCTCGACGAGCCCAACAAAACCTCGCAGCCGAGCTCGGTGACGATGCGGACGACGACAGTCAAGCCGTCGCTCCAGGGGACCGTCCGCCCCTGATACAACGAGCGACGAGGGCATCCAGCGCGAAATGCCCGAGTTGGGATTCGATGCCGAACGTCTCGTGGGAAACCTTTCCACTCGACTAGGGGCAATCGAAGAAATGTGAAACCCGTCTGCAAATGGTGCAAGTTGCAGATGCGGTCTAAGGCTATTGCACCAAAGTGATGATCCGCCGACTCAGTGAAGACAGCAGGCTGGGTCGAGTCGAAGAATGATACTGCGTCAACTGTATGGATTATATGAATTACATGATATCGAAATGGAGTGAGCGAAGATGGAGCTGGAAAGCAAGAAGCCCATTCGCCGGGTTAGCGTTGGAGTCGGCGCGAAGTCTCAGCCGAGTTGCCGAGCTGAGCGGTTAAGCCCAGCTGGTCTGACAACGACCCAGTGAAGAAGCTGAGGGAGGTGATGGTGCGTCTGCACAGATTGAGCGAGTCAGCCGTCGATGCCGAAGTTGTGTTGACTCGTCACTGGGTCCGTGAACACCCACTGGGGCACTGTGTGTGATATGCGGCGGTACGATCGACACCCTTGGGTACGACCGCCGGGACCTCCGACCAAGTCGATGAACGATCTTCCCGTTGTGCGCTCAAGCTGAATTGGAGCGCAGGTGTGCTGACGCGGAGCTGTGCTGATATGGAGCCACGCTCAAGCAGGAAAGCCGAAGCGAAGTCGAGTTCGCACGATGTTCCAGTGAGGCCGTAATCACTCCATGTTTACCGAGAGGCGGCTAGCCGAGTCGGTCGATGCGCGGCGGCGGTGAACAAACCGAAGTTGCAGCAAAGCTGGAGTTGAGCAAAGCTCAGCGGAGGCACGCTGGGCAGGCGCGTCGCCGAGAATGTCGACGTGCCAGCGATCTCGAACGGGAGCCGAGTTGATCCGTAGCTGAGCAGAAGCAGACACCTGCTTTGAAGATGAACTCCGACTTCACTCGATCCGACGTAGGGCTACCATCGCGTTTATCTGCGGTCAGCCTGAAGCCGAGTCGGTGAAATCGCTGAGTCACGGCGTCGCAAAGGTGTACCCAACATCCAAAGGTGGACTGAAGAGGAATGGATTCCACGCGGCCGCGGTCGTATTCACATTGAGCCAACATGAGCAGAGCTTGGTCAGGGGTCGAGCATAGCCAAGTCGAAACATCCCTTCAAAGCGCTGATACTTCCGCTAAGGGACAGAGCTGGTCAGGCAGCCAGCTGTGTCGTTCGCTCAGTCGAGCTTGCCTCTCACCTTGCTCAACTGGGCTAAGCTGAAGCGGAATCAATTCCAGGTGAACATGAGTCGCGCTAGACCCGGGTTGATTCGTGGCAGAGCCACAGAACATGGGGATCAAGTGGCGCCTAGGCGAATTGCAGCAGAGGTTTGTCTTGAATCCGAGCTGAATCGGGATCAGGTACAAGTGCAGCCGAGGTCAGCACCAACTGAGTTGAACCACAGTCAAGCTGAAGCCGAGATGCGTTCAAGCAGAGCCGAGTTGAAGCGAGACAGTGCACTCTGCGTGGAAGTAGTTTGACACCGAGATGTCGTGAAGCCGAGTTCAACCAAGCCGGAACGGAGCCGAGTTCGAGCAACGCTTCGAAGAAGCGCTGGTCGTTGGAGTGGAGTCGATTGAAGAGCAACCTTGCCGAAGCAAAGCCACGATCAAGTTGGGCCGCTTCGCGTCCAGTTCCAGTGGGAACGCATACATCTCGGTCTTGTGCCCGGTTCTCGTCGGATTCCAGCCGAGACGAACTAGGTCGAGCCGACGTTATGCGCAGCCGAGTCCGAGCAGAGCTGAGCTGAAGCGAGGCTGAGATCACGCTGCGTCCTAATGTGGTCGCGTTCGCACTGGGTTGCTGCGACGCCGAGAACATTGGAGTACGATCAAGCTGGAATGGGATGCCGAGTTCCAGTAGTGCCACGGGTTGGATGGCGCCAATCTGAAGTGTACTCACTTCAACGGAAGGAAACACTGGGCTGAGTTGCGGTACGCCAAGTTTCAGTGAGATCGCGTTCGGAAGTTCGCCTAGTTGAGTGCTGGTAAACGCACCATGTTCCGATTGGAGAGCGCTCATGCCGAGTTCGAGGTGTAGTCGAGCTGAGGCTGAACACGCTTCACAGCTGAACCGAAGATACCGAATTCAAACTGAGTTTGAACGCAGCCGAGCTCGCGGCGAGCCGAGTTGGAATGTGACCGAATGAAGTGCTGTTCCAGTCGAGCTTGCCCACCACCTTCCCAACCAAGCTGAGCCCAGTCGGGGTAAGCTGGTCTAACAGAGCGGGAGACATGCCGAAGTCAAGGTCCGTTGACCAATGAACCCAGCTCGACAACTCGACTGGAGCATCAAACGCATCGGGATCGCCTTGTTCGTTTATAAAATGACACAGCAACGGTGAGAGCTAACTCAACGCACCAAAGTGAGTGGGGCAAACACTTACCAGGCTAGTTGAGTCGATGAAGCGGAGGCTGTGTTCAAGTCCAACCGAGTTCAAGGTCAGCGGATAGCAGCTAGTCGTCAGGACAGCCGAGTTCGGACACAGCTGAGTTCAACTTGCTGCTGCACTTCTCGCCAATAAGCTCAGCTGGGTTGGATTTCGAGCTCAGCGCGGCCCGATCGGGGAAGCGTTTCTTGACCCGCCGAGTTCCCGGAGCCTTGTAGCATGCCAAGACAACCATCAGGCTCCACTCGACGCACCGAAACGAGAGGCACGTGCTTACCGGGTCAGCCGAGTCGCTGGCAGCATCCATGGCTGCTCATTTTGACGGAGACAACGATGCTCGGCTTCGTCGGTATTGCAGCCAATCGAGCACTTCCCCGACACCTGCATCACCTACTCGCTTTGCGGCGGCAGGCCCAACATCATCGCTAGTACTCCGAGCTTCGACAGGGGCATCAGCTGACTTCGTATGGTTCAGTTCCTGCTACCGGCTGCCACGCCGAGACGACCATCCAGGCTGATTCGCTGCTGAAGTGATCCGAGGACGGGGTTTGGTGCGAGCGATAGGGGCATCTACATGTGTACAGACCCATGAGTCGCGGACAAAGCCTATACCAAAGATCAAGGCTCAAGCAAGTCTCACCTTCACGGAACGAGGAACGAGGGTGTCGAGCTGACGTTGCGGGCGTTTCGCGCCACTCGAATTCGGGAAATGTGAACTCAGAGTGTTTGCGACAGATCTGATTCGACGAAATCAAGCGTGCGACACATCCGGTTGGCCAGGCCACTCACCACTCCGGCTCGTAGCATGGCCGGGGCAGTTGTGGTGTAGGGAACATCAAGATTTGTGTCATACTCCAAGGCCGCAGTGGAACAACGTACCAGGAGCCAAGTTCTACTCGGCGGGATGACCGTCCGCCGAGCTCAGTGGGCAAGAATGCGCTGATGGACCGCTGAACTCGGCTGATGGTGTCAGAAACTCAAGCCACACCGGCCCCGACCTGGTGACACGTGGCAGACCCAGTGATGAAGACCCAGCCGAGTTCAGGAAGGCACTGGACAGGCTCATCCGAGATCATGGGGGGGGGGGGGTCAAGCCGCCGAGCTCAGGCTAAACGGTACCATGTACCGTCCGATACGGTAACCAGGCTCAATTGAGTCCGGGAGTTGCGCAGTCGAGTTCACGGGTCACTCTGCCGAGTTCACGAGTCGCTCCGCCGAGTTCACGAGTCGCTCCGCCGAGTTCACTGGGTTATCCGGCACCTTATCCGGCTCAACCGAGTTCGCCAGGTTATCCGGACACGCCGTATCCGGCTCAGCCGAGTTCAAGGGGTTACCCGGACAGGTTATCCGGCTTAGCCGAGCTCGAGCGTCGCCGAGCTCGGTGAAGAGTCGGCCGAGATCCAAAACCGCCCACTTTCATTTGGTATTTGTATAGGAGCTTAGGAATAGTGGAGGCGCCCCTTCAGGGCGCCCGACAGAGATAACAAACAACAGAGCAGAATTTTCTAGGTCCACAACACGTGCACGCGCTTCCAGTAAGCCCCTGCACGGGCCGGATTATGTCTGCTGTCAGCACCCGAGAGGCATAGCTTGTAGGGTGTTGACTGGTAGCGCCAAGAGATTAAGGTCGGCCCGGGTTGGGCGCGTGTCTCGCCAAGCGCGAAGGAAAAGTCTCGCCACCGCTGCGAGCCGGTGTTCCCGTACGTCCCGGGCACTGATTGCTGAGTCGAGAAGCCTTTGCTCTCGGCGACCCGTAAAAGCCCGCGAGGGCCGTCGTCCGTCCTTTGGCGGAGGGCACGGGATTTCTAATTCCGGAGTCAGGTAACTCAGCTGGCTTCCGTGGTTGACTGGCTTGGGGCACTTGGTCTCGGCGAGGACGAGACATCACTGTCGCGGAAGGGCCGAACGGCCTTTTCGGTGTGCTCTGCCTAACGAGCCACCAATTCGTCTTGAAATCGCCTGCTAGAAGCCGTATAAATAGACGAGATAGTCCTAATAATGAGCTTTCGGTAGGTGGTCTTCGTGCTCAAATCACCCCAGTCTACAGCGAGATATCGCTGTACTGCGGCGACACTTCGCAAATTTGCGCTAAACTGGCCAGGCACCTGACTCTGACTTAGTGATTAGAGGCTGTGAGGCCTTCCCTATAGCTAATCCCTAATGTCTATACAAATATCAAGTATCAGCCGAATCTTCGAGCCGGACCGACAACTCGACGACTCCTCGGCTAGGTCCGAATTCCTAATGAGAGGCAAATCTTGTACCCACTATGACTACCTGGAGGGCTCGGCGGGGATTTATTATGACCCGCCGGGCGTCGGCTGAGGCTCAGGCTGCGGCGGCAAAGCATGCGGCCCAGCCGTCGGTTCAGGCGTCTGGCAAGCGGCCGGTGTCGAGCACCGCAGAGCCTTCGTCGACAACTCCCGCTAGGCCGATGGAAGGCCGACGCGGGGCGTCGGGGGGCTCAAATGCAGCTCCGTCTTCCTTTCCACCGTCGCCTCCTGCTACTCCACCGCACGAGCCTTCGTCGGGTCCGACTCGCTTTTGTCGATCTGAGTACTCGTCTTCTGGCGATCGCGTCCCGCTTGGGACTTCAGACCAAGACTCCTTCGGCCTCCACCGTCGTCCCAGGGGCTCTCTATTTCGCCCTCGAAGATCTCGTCGACGGCGGTGTCAAGAAGGCGTTGCTTCAGTCGGAGGCTCGTCTTGACGAGCACCTGGACCAGCGGCTTGCAGATCTCGGCCAGCTCATGGTCGGCCTCGTCCGCAATCCAAGTCTCCGTATCGACGAAGACTTGGACCAGCGCCTTGCGGAGGCTCGGAGCCTGCGAGACGTCGTCCAAGCGGTGGCTCCAGACGCGCTTCCGAAACCTTACTGCTGGGACGAGAAGATGGAAGAGCTGCGCCGTGAAGTCCAGCGATTCCAGGACGCGGCTGTGGAGAGCAAGCGCCTGAGCGACAAGGAGCACCTTCTTCGTCTCAGGGCTGACCGACTGTGCGTCGCAGCTTCAGCCGAACGTAATCGGTTGGACAGAGACCTCCAGTCTTGTCGTAAGGAAAGAGACTTCGCTAACCAGCGGCTCAACCTCTCGGCTCGAGCCCTCGCGCAGAGTGAGGAGATGCTCGATCAGCTGAGAGTCCAAGTCAAGGCGCTTGAGGACGCGGACAAGGCCACCCAGGCGGTGATCGCACAGGACCGGCTGACGTTCAAGAACGGCTTGGTGCGATACACCAATACTGTCCGGGACTTCCACGCATACCTCCAGCATCTGGAAGAGCATCGGTTCACACTGAGTCAGCTCGACCTTGGCGACGGCTCAACGTTGCCTCAAGTCCTGCGGACGTTCCTTCAAGAGTTCTGTTCCATGGAGTTCGCACTGAGGGAGGCCACGTCCGGTTCCAAGCGCGACCGTGAGGGTTCTGCGCTGTCTAGTTCTCACGGGGAGGTGTCGGCTCCAACTCACTCCGGTCCACGCCTAACTGCTCACGCTGAGAACTCGTCAACTGCAGGCGTAACTCTGGAGGAGGATTCGGACGACGACGATCCGATCATCCCGTCTTCCAAACGTCGGAGGAAGGTGGAAGGAGAGACTGTGAAGGCCCTATCGGCTCGAGACGTGGCATCCGTAGCTCAGAAGAAGAAGGCTCGGCTCGGGCGGCCGTCTCAGCCCCTGGTGAAGAAGATTCTCCGAGTGTCCAAGTCTCGTCCGACCGATACTAAGCCTGCGGCCAAGTCTAAGGCTTCCAATGCTAAAGAACGTGTACCGGCAGCCGAGCCGTCGTCTCTTCCAGCAGTTGTCGACTTGACTCTCGACCTGTCGGCAGTGCCCAGGTCGAGTCTTGGCGAGTCGTCTGCTGTTCGTCCGTCTTCTCCGCATCCCTCGGACGCGTCGACTTCGTCAATGCCCGGGTCGCCGACTCGTTCGCCAGAAGCGTCAGTGGCGTCGCCTGAGCACACCCAAGAAGCTGAAGGGTCAGACGCCGAGCAGGAGCTCGTGGTCCTGGACTACGACTCGCCGTACAAGGCGTCGGTCGTGATTCAGCCTCGCAAGGATGGGCGTCCTGTGCGCCCTGCATCAACTGTAGCTTCACTACAGTCCAAGGTCACGGTTGAGAGCGAAAAGGCGCCAGATGACGCCGTGCTTGGGTTGCAGAAGGCTTCAGTCCTGCCACCAGCGGAGATTGACCTGACTGGGGCAGACACGGATCAACAGTCTGGGAGTCGAGTTGTCCAAGGCTCGTCCAAGGGCAAGTCCAAGCTTACGGCTGTTCCAAGTGGCAAGCCGAAGCAGCGGATGAAGGTCTCGGCTAAGGTGACGAAGACGCAGCTCAACCAGCTTCCTAAGGCTTCCGCTGCTGCTCCGAAGACTGGGCTGGTTCCGGTTCCTGAATCAAAGGCTCTGTCGCGTCCCGACCAAGCAGCTGTCGCGACCAAGCGCGCGCAGGCGTCGGACCACGTGATCCCTGAGACTCTGAGTTTGGAGGGGACTCTCTTGTCGGCACCATTCGCGTCTCCTGGAGCAGAGCTCTGCTGGAAGAAGATACTGGAGACTCGGTCCGGGCCTCCCGTCCCTAACAGTACTCTGATTGAGTGCTCGGTTGACGGCATCAAGGCATTCGCTGACTGGACCAACCCCAATCACCCGCACCAAGAGTTCTTGGCGCAGCTTCCTGAGTGGCCGTGTCTGTTCGACGCTTCGGATTACATGCCTGACGTCGTCATCTCGATTCGCGCAAGCGTCGAAGAGCTGGCAGTCAAGCTCTGGCGCCAGTTTTGCAGCCGCGCATTCGGGGCGACCGAGAACTCCGACCTCGGTTTTGCTCTCTACGAACGTGATCACTGGATCGCCCCCGCTGCTGTGGATCGATGGCTCCGGCGTCTCGGCCGAAAACTCGGTAAGACCCACCCTGTGTACTGTTGTCAAGACTGATGTGACGACGCCTCGCCAAGCGACCGTGTCACGCGAACGCGTCATCAGTGAGGTTGGCGTGACCTTCACTGTGTTGTACCGCAATCATTCAGGTGATTACGGGACGATGATTACGTCACGGTGATTACGCCATGATTGTGGGTACATGATTGTGGGTACAAGATGGGCATCGACGTGGCGTTCTCTGATTGGATAAGGTAACTGTGTATCCAGTAGAGAATCCAGTAGGGTGTATCCAGTAAGAGGTATCCAGTAGCAGGCTTAGAGGTAGCACGCGGTTGCGAACTAAGGACCTGAATCGAATCACTTTGCATTTTGCCAACTACTGCTCAAGTGCTCTTCCTTTTGGTTATGAGCCCAAGCCCCGTCTTCCCTGACCAAGACCCCGACTACGCCTTCGCCATGGACGCCGCCCCGACCGCGACCGCCCGCATCAACAAGTTCGACGGAACCAACTTCCACACATGGAAGTTCAAGATGCAGATGGTGCTGGAGGAGCGCGAATTGTGGGAAGTGACGGGTGGGGAAGTGAAGCTCGAGCAGTGCACGACCGCGGCGGACCAAGCGACGTTTCGCAAGAAGTCGCGCAAGGCGCTGGCGATCGTCTGTCTCGCGTTGGAGGACTCACAGCTGCCGCTGGTGCGGTCGGCGAAGGACGCGCATGATGCATGGTCAAGACTCGAGGGACACTTCGAGAAGAAGAGCCTGGCGAACAAGCTCTTTCTTCGTCGACGATTCTTCACGACAACGATGGACGAAGGTGATGATGTGCTGGAGCACATTAACAAGCTCAAGACGCTGGCGGAACAGCTCGACGCGGTCGGCGCTCCGGTCAGCGAGGACGACTTGGTGATCACGCTTCTTGCCAGTCTGAGCGAGTCGTACCAGTTCCTCATCACGGCGTTGGAATCGCGTTCCGACACGCTGACGTGGGAGCTCGTGACGTCTCGGCTCCTGCACGAGGACATGAAGCGCAAGGAACAAGGTGGCGGTGCTGACGGAACCGCGCACGCTCAAGGTCAAGCGTTCATGACAAGCGACAACGGGAAGCGCAAGGGACGGCAGGCGCAAGCGCAGAGGACGAGCGCCTGTCACTACTGCGGCGAGCACGGACATTGGATCGCCAAGTGTCCGGTGCGGATCCGCGAGAACGGGGAGCGGCAGAGGCCGCAACGAGCGAACGTCGCGCAGGTCGAAGATGACTCTGGCGACTTCCTCTTCTCGGTTGGTGGCGACACGGTGCCTCCAAGCTGAGCGGCATGTGGCTGGTCGACTCAGGTGCGACGCAGCACATGACGTACTCGAAGGAGTACATGGAGAACTACAAGAAGATCTCTCCGGTGGACGTGCATCTGGCGGACGACGGCGTGGTTCAGGCGGTGGGGAGCGGCGACATCGTGATGTCGATGCAGACACCGCGCGGCATGAAGAAGGGTGTGCTCACGGGTGTGTGGCACATCCCGAAGCTGTCGCGCAACCTGTTCTCCGTCGGCCGCTTCACCAAGGACGTCGGGCCAGTGACCTTCGAGAGCGACGGGTGCTTCGCGGAAACGAAGGGTCTCAAGTGGAAGCTCGGCGCTCGCGAAGGCAAAGGACTGTTCAAGCTCTGCAAGACGCCGAGGACGCCTGCTGACGAGGCCAATGCGGCAAGCTCGAAGAATCGCCAAGGGGACACCACGTCGTACCTCTGGCACCTTCGACTTGGTCACATCGGCCATGGTGGTCTCGACGCCATCGTCAAGAAGGGCTACGGCACTGGCATCCCAATGACGTCGGTGAAGCAGTGGGAGGTGTGCGACGGGTGCGCACTCGGCAAGCAAACGCGAGTAAGCTTCATGAAGTCGTCGCCGAACCGTGCGAAGCAAGTGCTGGAGGTGGTCCACAGCGATGTGTGCGGTCCGATGCAGACGGCGACGTTCGGAGGCAAGCGCTACTTCGTCACGTTCATCGACGACAAGTCGCACTTCTGCGTGGTGTACCTGCTACGGAACAAGTCGGAGGTGGCTGCCAAGTTCGCTGCGTTCGTCGCGTTGGCTGAGACGCAGACCGGCAAGCGAGTGAAGGTGCTTCGGAGCGACAACGGCGGCGAGTACACTTCGGGTGCGATGGCCAAGTTGTGTGCGGATCGCGGCATCGAGCAGAAGTTCACGCCGCCATACACGCCTCAGCTCAACGGAGTGGCCGAGCGAATGAATCGGACGCTGGTGGAGTGTGCGCGCTGCATGCTGGAGCACGCCGGGTTGTCGAAGGAGTACTGGGGAGAAGCGGTGATGACGGCCACGTTCCTCCGCAACCGGTGTCCGACGCGCGCCATCAGTCACGACAAGTCGCCGCACCACGTTTGGACCGGCAAGAAGCCTTTGCTGGCCAACCGCAAGGTGTTCGGGTGCCACGCGTACGTGCACGTGCCGAAGGAGAAGCGGTCGAAGTTTGACGCTCGGTCGGTGCGCTGTCGTTTCCTCGGGTACTCGGAGCACGAGAAGGCGTATCGGTTCGAGGAGATCGAGAGCGGTCGCGTGTTGGTGAGCCGCGACGCGCAGTTCATGGAGGATGTCTTCGACGGTGGGAGACGCGACTACGCTTCGAAGGAGGTGTTGGTGGGTCTTCCGACAGATGATGATGAAGACACCACGGATGAAGAGCCTCAGTCCGGATCAGACGAGAACAGAGAAGAAGCTGCGCGGAATCAAGACTTTGAACCCGGCAGCAAGCGACACCCGCGCACGCAGTCGCTCGAGGAAGCCGTGGAGGTTCCGAGTGCCAAGCGGTATGCGGTGCCGAGACGACAGCAGCCGCTGGACGAGATGTCTGCCGCAGCACAAGAGAAGGAAGACTTCGAGGCTGCGTACGTCGTGGATTCAGTGGGAGAGATGCCGACAACGTTCAAGTCGGCGATGGAATCCAGCGACGCAGACAAGTGGAAAGAGGCGTGCGACTCGGAGGTGGAGTCGCTCCGCAAGAACGAGACGTGGACCCTGGTGCCACTGCCGAAGGGACGCAAGGCGATCGGCTGCAGATGGGTGTTCCGCGTGAAGGAGAACCAGTCTGGAGAGATCGAGCGGTTCAAGGCGCGACTGGTGGCGAAGGGGTTCTCCCAGAAGTACGGCATCGACTACGACGAGACGTTCGCGCCGGTGGCCAAGTTCACGTCGATTCGGGTGTTGCTGAGTCTGGCGGCCAAGTACAAGCTCACAGTGCACCAGATGGATGTGAAGACCGCGTTCCTCAACGGCTTGTTGGATGAGGACATCTACATGGCGCAGCCGGACGGATATGTGGACGGAGATCGACCCGACTACGTGTGCCGGCTCAAGCGTTCGCTGTACGGCCTGAAGCAGTCGCCGCGGATGTGGAACAAGACGATCGACGAGTTCATGTTGAAGCTGGGGTTCAAGAAGTGCGAGTCCGACCACTGCATCTACTTGAAGCGGGACAATCACGACATGATGTTCGTGGCACTGTACGTGGACGATCTGGTACTCGCCAGCAGCAGCGACGGGATGCTGAAGGACACGAAGCAGGCGCTGAGTGACCGGTTCGAGATGACTGACATGGGCCAGCTCAAGTACTTCCTCGGTATGGAGATCGAGCAAGATGTGGCGACTGGGAAGGTGTCGGTGCGGCAGACCAAGTTCGCGAAGGACATTCTCGAGAAGTTCAAGATGGATGAGAGCAACCCTGTGAAGACACCGCAGGATCCGGGTCTGAAGCTGACCAAGGCCATGTGCGAGGGAGGCTGCAAGCACGACGAGACCATGGCGAATGTTCCGTACCGGAACGCCGTGGGCTGCCTCATGTATCTCATGGTGGGGACTCGTCCGGACCTCGCAGCGGCAGTGGGAGTACTGAGCCAGTTCGCAGCGGACCCATGTCCGACACACTGGCAGGCGCTCAAGAGGGTCTTCCGCTACATCCGAGGCACGAAGACGCACGGCCTCGTGTTTCAAGCGAGCAGCGAGGACGGACTGCAAGGCTACTCGGACGCGGACTGGGCCGGCGACATCGAGTCTCGACGGAGTACGAGCGGCTACGCGTTCATGGTGAACGGCGGATGCATCAGCTGGCGAAGCAAGAAGCAGCGCACGGTGGCGCTCTCGTCGACGGAAGCCGAGTACATGGCGCTGTCGGAGGCCACGCAGGAGGCGGTGTGGCTCAAGGTGTTTCTGTGCGAGCTGGGCGAGATGGCGAGCGATGAAGCGGTGAAGATCTACGAGGACAACCAAGGCTCCATCGCGTTGGCCAAGAACCCGGAGTTCCACAAGCGCACCAAGCACATCGACATTCGCTACCACTTCGTGCGCGAGAAGGTGGAAGACGGTCAAGTGGTGTTGCAGTATGTTTCGACACTCGACATGCTGGCGGACATCATGACGAAGCCGATCGCGGCGCCGCAGTTCGACGCGCTCAGGACGAAGCTGGGCATCGTGGTCGCTGACGAGTCGAGTGGGAGTGTTGTCAAGACTGATGTGACGACGCCTCGCCAAGCGACCGTGTCACGCGAATGCGTCATCAGTGAGGTTGGCGTGACCTTCACTGTGTTGTACCGCAATCATTCAGGTGATTACGGGACGATGATTACGTCACGGTGATTACGCCATGATTGTGGGTACATGATTGTGGGTACAAGATGGGCATCGACGTGGCGTTCTCTGATTGGATAAGGTAACTGTGTATCCAGTAGAGAATCCAGTAGGGTGTATCCAGTAAGAGGTATCCAGTAGCAGGCTTAGAGGTAGCACGCGGTTGCGAACTAAGGACCTGAATCGAATCACTTTGCATTTTGCCAACTACTGCTCAAGTGCTCTTCCTTTTTGTACGTGGCTATTTGCAACGAGTGGCGCGCGTATTCCAAGGATCGGAGCGGGCGTTCGGATCGACTCCGCGTTCACATCAAGCGCTGGTGGTCGCTTCTCCTTCCGAACTCTGCAGGCGACGTCGGGTTCCACTCGGAGGCTCTGCTCGAACCCACGGCGCAGTATTACTCTCTCGACACTCTCTCG